TTCAATCATATCATTGTCCATACTATCGGTCTTCAACATCATACTATCGGTTCTCAAAAATGGTCTAATTAATAATGGCATAATGGTTGTGCACTATTTCAATCAATACAAATTATATCGAGCTTGCTGCTTAAGAACACCCTAATTTTAGCCAAACAGATCACTTATTAACCATAGAGGGAAGTGCTTGAGAACAACCTAGGCTTTTATCAAAAGCCTTAAATACTCAACTTGTCTACAACGATGATACTGTATGTAAAAAAAGATACCATACATTTTTCATTAAAAATGTGGCTATATTTAAACAGCCGAAGCACACATATTATGAAATGTTTAGATTTAGTACGCTATTTACTATTTATTAGGCAAAAAATATTATCGTTGTCCCAGAAAATGGCATCATAATAACTATCGCCATAGCATAGCCATTGATATCTTACGATTTTGTCTTCTATTGGTTTTGTATTTCACCAAGAATTTTTCTTTTGGAGAGGTATCTTTTGTCAATGGTCTCGTCAGGGGGCTTAGTCTTTCACAGAAGTTTTGTAATTTTAGTCCTTCAGAAGGCTATATTTCATTTTTTTCGTCATTTCATAGAATAATTTCGCCTAACAACTATACTTTACCCAATATTGATTATGACGGATTTCCGGAATTGTACTCAAATTTATTTTTAAACTTCTAGAAATTTGTAGAAATCAAATATAATTCATTATTTGATAAGGACTAATTCCACCAGTCTGACGGAATGGAAAATACCAACTTTGTATAATTAACTCCATATCGATATACAATATAGCACACTGTATAATACAGCAATCTAACTCCAACAAGGCTTAGACGATAATAAAACAAACCTAGCGCTAGGGCTTAATTATGATAAAAAAGGGAAGCCACGTTTTTCTAAATCATGAATTTAATTTGCTTAAAAACAAGAAGTTGGATTATTCTTCTACATTTAATAAATACTGTATACAAAACATGAAGATTGAATCAAAAGAAAAATCATTATATATTACCATTTCTCCAAAAATGACTGTCGTGGCCGTGTCAGTTCACACTATAAAAAATATAAAGCTATGGAAAATAGATAAAGTCAAACAAGAGTTGCATAAAATTAATGATTTCTTGTTTAGAGATAATGAATTATATCCTGAACCCAAAGATAATGATTCGTATCCTGAACCTCGTTTAACGAATATATCTGATACTAAACATATTGTGCTAACTCTGAAGAGAAATTATCCGTATAATTTTGGTAAATAATTTATTAAAGGGTATAAAATATATTTAGTAATTTCATATTTATTTCATATTTAACAAACCAATTTTCTTCTTTTTTTCAGAAATTTATAATTTAAATACAAGAAGAGTGAATATATTAAATGCACCAAATCTCGAGGGCGAAATAGATAGCTTGAATTTTCTTGTAAATAATGACTTGATAGTTGTCAAAGGAAATCCGATATTCAGAGCTTATATATTTTCAAATAACGAAAAGGATAATGACAAATGGGATTGCAAAAAAATGGTTGAATTAAAATACTTCACTCATAGTCACATAACTTCTAATGGAAAGTTGCTGCTGGAAATTGCTGACATTACTGTTTTGTTGCAATGGAATTTAGAATCGCTGATCCTTGAACAACAATACATGTTAAACAAGTTTCGATCTCAACTTAAAATCACTTTAAATGACAATTCTACATTGTTAGCGGTTCGTGGATTAGTATACGATTCAGATGATAAATCCTCATATAAATTATTCATTTATTCGGTTGAACTTGGAATATTACTAGCTCAAAGTAAGATTAACGAAGATTAACAAATATTTTATTTATTATCGAAGTTAATGCTTTATAGCTTATATATCTTTTTTCTTTTAAATTTTTTTAATAGGACAATATTCTCAATTGCCTGAAATATATTTTATTGGTACTGATGTTGGAGAAAGAATGTTAGTGTTGTGGCCAGTAATAGAAAATTACCAATATGAAATAATCGATCCTTATTCTCTTTCTGATTCTGTTGATGCCACAAAGCTCTTTGAAAGTGATATTGAAGCAGATGTAATCGTTCAATCTTATGCAATACAATCAGATATCATTATTGGTTGGTCTAAAGATGAAGAGAATTTATATATGCAATTATTGATACAAGAAAATTGGATTAAATATCTAAGAAATTTAAACGACTATAGTAATATTGGCTTTCCGTACAGAGTTTCACGAGTCAAATTAATGATAGATGACATAATTAACGAATATAATAATAGTAATGGGCAAAAAGTTAATTTTCCAATAAAGCCTTCATATGATGGTACTTTATATAAATGGGTTATTAAAATTGATGATAATATTTCCCTAGTAGCACATAAACAAATGAAAACTAAAGCACAAGAAACGGATTATACGAAAACTATTTTTTATTTATTTAAAAAGGAACTAAAAAAATATACAGAAAGAATAATACTGAATTGCGATCTGCTTGAGAATGAAAATTTAGCAATGATTACAATTTTTGGAATTTATATATGGACAATAAAATCAAATGGAATCAGATTACATTATTTCTGGAATGAAGAAGTAAAACGCATAGATTATGAGCCTCAAAGTATAATAAATATGCTACAAGAGTTTTTACGTTGCTGTGAAGATTCTGGCAATTTTCTTCCTACGATTCATTTTGACTTGCTTATAAGGGATAGAATCAAGAGATCTAATGACTTACATTATTTGAGTTTAGATGATTCTAGAGAATTATTAGAAGATTATAAGCATGATAAAGTATTTCTTGCATGCTACGGAAAGCGATTGCTTGAGAAACTGATAGAATATAAACAGGACGAACTAATCGAAGATATAATTCAAAGATGCATAGACTTAAGTACTAAAAATATTAAAGAAGGTTTTACTGCAAATATTGAATTATTAAGTATCATTACTTCTTCATTTTCAGAGTTATCTCAAAATTATGAGTCATATATTTCAAATTTTTTATATCAGATCGCTTTTGTCGTACCCCATTACATTAGAAGGTTCTTAATCAAAAGTGAATCCATTTCTTCACATCTTCATCACTATGGGAATTATGTTCAGATATTGGAAACGACGTTCATTGATATTGCCATTTCTTGGCTTTTATGTTATCTTCAAACCTTTATTGAAAAGTACAATCAAATATATAACTTCATCTATAGACTCGAACCAAAACCAACTATTCAATTAATGGTTCCTCTGCCAAATTTTATAACATATTCTTATCCTTACGATCCTTTAATAGATGGGGTTTATCCTGCAACCAGTCCATTTACAAAATCAAAGAATATTGATTTGTATAGGTTATGGATTGGTGAGGCTATCCTTGATTTCAAATGGAACACATATGGAAGAAAATATTATTTAGTTATTTGGTTAATATATACTATTTTTCTTAATTTCTTTGTTATTACTGCGATTTTCTGTAATCAAATTTCATGGAATTATCAACAATTTCTATTGAAATGTGTAATTGTTCTGGGACTTTGCCACTTGTTTTTTGAAATTCGTCAATTTATTTTTTCCCCTTTTTATTATCTTACTAGTATTTGGAATTATTTTGGTATGTAAATGATTTATTTTGATTTGTTGTTTAAGTACTGATTTTTATTTTATTTTATAGATTTTAGTGCGATTATGTTTCCAATTTTCACATCCTACATATGGCTTAAAAATGAATCAATTCCAATACGAGAAGCTACCATCTCAACAATTTTACTTGAATTAAAATTCTTACTTTACTTTCGCGCAATATCTTATTTTGGGATTTATTTTGCAATGATAATTGGAGTTGCCCGCAAGGCATTTTCATTTTTAATTATTTTAGGATTTATTATGTTTGCATTTGCAAATTCCTTATATCTTTTATTAAGACCAACTACTAATCATTTATCAGATACATCAAATCACTCAAATGATTATGATGCAAACACAGTTACATTTGGAACATTTCAGAATTCTATTTTGGCCACCTATCTCATGTTATCAGGGATGTTAAACATATGAATTATACTGTATTAATTTATTATTTTATACCTGATTTAAACAATTTTGTTTTTATTATAATCAAAACAGAAAGTTCGATTTCAACATGGATTATACCAGAAAATATAACTTCCATTATTTTATTATTGGCATTTTCATTTATAACCATTTATTTAATGAATTTATTCATCGGCTTACTCAGTAATGCAATTAATGATACAAATAATAAAGAATCATTCTTAGTTTTAAGGGCTGAGGTTAGTATTTTTTTTTTTTTTAAAAAAAAAAAAGAATTTTTGTCAGGATAAAAATTAATTTTTTAAAGTATATAGGTTTTGACCGAAATTGAATTGTTTTATATGCTACCATATCAAAGAAGAAAAAATAATTGGTTTCCAAAAATCATGTAAGCTAAATTAATTAATAAACGTATTTTAATAATGCTATAATGCTGAAGTTTTTATTTTTTATTTTTTACTAAGTTATTTTGAAGCACATATAAATAAACTTCGTGAAATTATAAAACAAATCCAAAAAGAATTCTATTCCAGTGATAAGCCCTTTATTTCTCAAATTCTTTTAAACATAATTCAAATGAGGTTTATAGAGTCAGATGAGCTACAAAAAGTTATAATAGTTAAAGAGTCAAAAGAAGAGATCAAAATTTTCATTGAGGAGTTAAATAAACTAGTTGCTAAAAAGTGAAAATATAAAAATTTATAATTGTATTTTTTTTTTAAATATTTTATTGTATTTATTAAAATTAGAGTTAAATAACTGTTTTTAGTTTAATTAAATTTTTATATTTGGTGCTGTATAATATTTGTGTAAACCTTATTTTGTATAATTTTTATTGAAAAACTTATAAAAATGGTTTAAATTTAATATAATTACTTAGAGTGAAATTTTAGAGTTAGGTTTAGTATTTAAAAAAACTGTAATTAGCTTATTGCATAATACACGAAACCTTGCTGATACTCTACTAATAAAAAAAAACCTTATGGTAGTTGTGAAGAGAGTACAACTAAGTTATTTACAAAACCATAAATCAAATCTTATGTAAAAATTTTTTCTTTCTTGAGAACTTATCTGAATTTAGGATGGGGCATGGATGAATTTTTGGGACATACCTATGGACATGATTAAAAAATTTTTCATGCTTCACCTAGCTGTATATAAAAAAACTTAACTAAAAACATATGAACTTCATAACGAAAATTGTTTGTACATAGTTTAACTAAGCGCGCTTTCATCTGTTAAATTGTCATCTGTTGAGTTGTCATCTGTTAAGTTTCCGGTTTCCAATACTGTTGAAGATTCGATTTTAATTTTTTCAGAATTTTCAAAAAATTTTTCGTTATATATCCAATTACTTAACGTCTCACATAATTTAACTGCATTCGGACGTTTAGCTTTATCATTATCCATACAAGTTTTTGCAAGGTCAACATAATTTTTTGGAGTTCCTTCTGCAAATTCTGGTCGAAGACTACCATCACATATTTTAGGAATAATAGCATTATCGTCATTGTCATGATAAGGTGGTTTTCCATTTGAAACCTCAGTCATGATGACACCAAAACTATATATGTCAGCTTCTTCAGTATATTCTTTCTTGCGTAATATTTCAGGGGCTAGATAACGCCAGATACCAGGAATCTCTTTATTGTATGGTAAGTTGGTTGGTTTTGTAAGTCCTAAATCCGAAATATACGCATTATTTAATTCAGTTTGCAATATATTGCGACTATGTAAGTCTCGGTGAACAAGTTTTTGTGAATGAATTATCCATAGATCAGAGGCAATGCAAAGTAATAGGAATAATTTTTCGTTCCATTTCATATGCGTTATCAAGTGAAGATTGCTATGTAAAGTGCCGCAACTCATATAATCCATGACAATAATATAGCTTCCGGAATAATCTTTTGATATGCCATAACATCTTAAGAATGTAGGATTTTCATTTCCAATATAACAACAAGTTTTTAACTTAAAAAGTGGAATCAGTTAATCAATACGTATATAATAAACTTGCCATATTAGCAAAAACATCATGCATACGTACGTACCTCGTTTTTAAATTTTTCAGGACAATCTTTTGAATCACGAAGTAATTTAAGTGCAAAGGTTTTTTGCATATATCGAGTTTTAGTCTTAGCATAAAATACTTCACCATATTTACCATTTCCTATTGATTTAACCTCTTTAAACTTATTATAACGAAACCACCCTAATTTATATTCTACTAATATTTTTTTAAGATCGTCATCTATATCAGAGCATTCATTTGCCGATTCGTTCACACCTAGACCGTTGTAAGAAATATTAATCCTAATTTTTTAAATCATTAAATCACGAATTAAACAAACAAATAACGTTACTTGACAATATTCTTCCGTACCTATAAACGTTTTAACATAATATCTTTAATTAAATATAATTAAATATATATATTACAGCAGATAATAAATCATTTACTTACTGTATATACCAGTTTTTAGACATTTCTAAATCTCTTTTCACTCCGATTCCATTTCGGTAGCAGTAACCAACGAGAGCAAATGCTTTAGGATATATCATTTTAGCGGCTTCACAATATTGAGTAAATGCCTTATGTTGGTCTTTTTCAACACCAACTCCATTTTTATAATGATGTCCAAGATAATATACTCCATTTTTATCTCCCATCTCTGCAGCTTTTTTATTAAGAGTGAATGCTTTATAATAATCCTTTTTAACACCAATTCCAGCATAATAACAATTGGCAAGATTACTTATTGCAAGAGCGTCGCCCATAATAGCACCTTTTTCATAATAACCAAATGCTTTGTCTTCATCTTTTTTAGTTCCAATTCCATCAGCA